AGGTAATGTATTACGCTCGTAATATATTTCATAGACAATATATTTCCAGGTATTCAAACGGCCACCCTTAAAGAAAAACTTAAATTGCATGCTGAGTAATTTGATCATAAAAAAACCGCCTATCCTATTGTTGCACCGAGACTAGACTAGAAAAGATAAAGGCTTTTAGAAAGTTCAAATTTGGGGGTATCTGTAATTTCCTTTAAAAAAACTGTCGGACCGAGACCAGACTAGCAAAGAGAGAGACTTTTAGAAAGTTCAAACTTGAAAGTTAAATTTTGGGGTATCTGTAATTGCCTTTAAAAAAACTTGTCGGACCAAGACCAGACTGGAAAAGAGAGAGGCTTTTAGAAAGTTCAAACTTGAAAGTTAAAATTTTAGGGTATTTATAATTTCCTTTAAAACAACTTGTTGGACCGAGACCAGATTGTCAAATAGAGAAACTAAAAGTTCAAAAAACTTGGGGGTATCTGTAATTTTTTTTTAAAAAAAAAAAATTTTAAAAGTTCAAAACTTGGGGGTATATGTAATTTCCTTTAAAAAAAGGAAAAACTTTGATCGGGATTTTGAACCCGACGTGAATCGACCACGCATTATTCTAATATGGAGTTAGACGCACTACGGTTGTGCCACGGATCCTCAGCTATTAAACATAAACAAATTAAACAAAATAAATCTTGGATTAGCGTAAATCACTTGTTTAGAGAGATCACTTGTTGTAGAGAGAGATCACCTGCTTTAGAGAGAGCAAGAGAGAGATCACCTGCTTTAGAGAGAGAAAGGGAGAGATCACCAGCTTTAGAGAGAGAAAGAGAGAGATCACCTGCTTTAGAGAGAGAAATAGAGATCACCTGCTTTAGAGAGAGAAACAGAGAGATCACTTGTTTTAGAGAGAGAAAGAGATCACTTGTTATGAGAGAGAAAGAGAGATCACTTGTATTAGAGAGAAAAAGAGATCACTTGTTTTAGAGAGAGAGATATCACCTGGTTTAGAGAGAGAAAGAGAGATCACTTGGTTTAGGGAGACAGAGAGCAGTAAGCAAACAGAGAAAGAGCGAGCGAGCAGACGAAAGGGGGAGAGGGAAAGGGAGGGGAGTGTTTTAGAGAGAGAGAGAAAGAGAAAGCAATTCAGGAAGCAGACAAAGGGGAGAGATGCAGAGAAATCAGATATCCTAATGGAATTTAATGGCGAACGCGAGGAGAATCACACCTATACCACTCTCATCTTCCTTAGAAACCCATAACACCAACACCACATTCTCATCTCTCCTCTCAAGTCCTCCAAACCCAACATCTTCTTCTTCTTTCTCTCTCATCAGAAGAAAAACCCATCTCTTTCCTCTTGTCCTCCTATTCTTATTCTTCATCTTCTGGGTTCTCATCAGGACACCTCCTATTTGGTTTTCTCTCTCTAACCAGCCACAAGAACAGCACCGCCCCATTTTGGTCGAGCTTTCAAAGAGGAAATCTGGTGTCTCTGATAATTTTATTGCTTATTCCTCTGCAACCCATTCAAATTTCTTCTTCAATGACAGGCGCGGGTGGTTGCTCAACCCTGTAACTGCTGCTCGCGAATCAGGACTCTCGGGTCTCTCTCTCTCTCTTCTTCTTCTGGCTTCTACTGTAATTAAGATTTATTCAATATCTCTTGTTCTGTTCCTTGATTTGATATTTCCTACCAATGAATTAGAGTAAGAGGAGTGTTGTTTAGCTAATGGGAAATTTGTATTCGACCAACAAAATTCAGTTGATGGAATTCTTCCATGGGAAACTTGCAATTAGTGTGAATGCTGTCATTCATTTGAATGAGTAAAGAGTATTTCTGTGATCAAATGTTTCTCTTTGGGTACTCTTTTTTTTGTTTGTTCCTGCAAATGAAGCAATGCACTGTGCTAATTTATTCTTTTTTTGATAGATTTTTGCAGTTTATTATCTCCTTAAAGTCCTTATATTGGGTTTAAGAATTTGGCACTCAAAATCTCAATGTGATCATTGAACAGTTTACTAGCCTTTTTTTGTTCTCTGGTCTTCTATGGTAGGCATTTTCTTATTCCTTGAAGCATAAACTGTTGCTTGTTAGGGAAGAAGAGCTACAATTGGGGTACGTGACATATAGGGTATAGTTAATTTGGCTTTGTATGATTGTTTCTTTGTGAGCAAATGCTGTATTTTCTAAGAAAATTTATCAGAATACACCTGAGAGATGAACCATTTAAAATTTTACCCACTTCTTTTGACTTAATTTAAAAAATCTCATCAAAAGACACATGATCATAAGTTGGAATAGTTGAAAAAGGGAAAAATATTAAATAGTTGATATTATAGGTGCATTTTGATTGAATTTCTTATTTACTATGCATGAATGTCCTCAAATCATCATGTTGTATGCTTGTTTTCTTTTGATTTTTTGGGATCTTTAGTTTTTTCGATTATTTTGCTATATGGAATTATTTCTCTTCAGGTGGGGCTCTTGATTGTCGTTCAGTGCACGTGGGTGAGATTAGACCAGGCGGGGTGAGGGGAAATCACAGGCATCATAATTGCAGCGAAACCTTCATCATATGGGGTGCAAAAACTTTATTCAGGGTTTGTCTCATTTCTTATACCAACTATGCTTACTGGGTAGGCACCTTCATCATTATGTGTGAGCGTGTATGTGCACATTCGCGTGTGTGTGGCTTTTATTAATCTTTTAACATATAGAGTGAGCTTCATCATCCTTGACCATAAAAGTTTGGACATTGATTAATTGCATCATTATTTGAAGGTTATTTTGCATTTGACATAGCATTTTGAAGTTAACCTTACATTTGCGTGGCGCCCACACATTTTTCTGTGCGCTTATTAAATATGTGAAACTGAACTCATATTGCCCTTGCCTTATGTATTGACAAAAACTCCACCTACTCAAAAATTGATTACATTATAGTATAATGAAAATCAATGTCCAATTTTTGTGGTGAACCTCTATGATCTTTGGATTCATGGTTAAAGGTTAATAAAATACTATGGATGTGTTGTAGGAGTGTATGGGTATTTGTGTGCATGTGCGCATGTTTCCTTCTTTTCCCAATTCCCCATATTATACATCCTGCAGCCAATTTATGGCAACTTGCAGGTAGAAAAGAATCATGTGATTGGGAAAGATTACGAGGAATTCATAGTTGCGGCAGATGAGGTTGCAGTTGCTACTAGTCCAAGGGGAACAGCACATGCACTTGTGAATATGGACCATAAGTTGATTACTTACTTTTTGGGGTGTCAAGATAGTTTATTAACCAATGGTAGCTCTACAGATTTTCAAGTTTGGAAAGATCTGTGAAGGTGTTTGCTTCATGCCATTTTCTTTTGGATAAAAAATGATGAATTTGTAAAAAGAAGAGGGTATTTTTATCGTCACATTCTACTTTTTCGATTATTGAAACCAAGAATGTAGATAAGCACATCATTTCTCTCTTATGCAGTCATTTCATTGATACTTTCTCTCATGTACTCATTTGATTTCTAATTATCATTTCATAACAATTGTAAGTTTTATACGACTTTTTTTTTTTTTTTTCAACTTTAAGAGGTGTGGAATATGTTGGTAATCATAGAAATTCATGATTTATCTTTTTCTTAAGAATATTTGGAAGAATGGGCAATTTTATTCCATTCTTTTGTGTAGTCTGAGATTGATTATAGCATCTTAGCCATTTCACATGGTGCTAAACTAGTGTGGATCTTGTAGGTGCCTACATTTATCATAAATGCCTAGGTGGATATATCTCAATTCCTAACTGTATCAATGTGCATTATTGTAATCATAAATAGAACTCACTATTTATTTAAACTGGAAATGACACACTTTCACTTCCCCATGGCATGTTCCATATTTGCGGTCTTCATATTTTTAGAATGGATAAACTTTATATAAGGTTGCAATCTTAAAATGTAGAATTAAAATGCACCTCAAAATTCCATCATAAGAGGTTGTTTTGGTGTTGGAAAACCCTCTTATTGATCACCTCGGCATCGAGATGTATGAATATGAAAAGAAAAAAAGATTTCGAGTCCTAAAAAGGTGTATCTTGCAACATATTATTTGGACCTTCCATTTTCAAGATTTTCAAGTGTTTATAGATCTACTTGATTGGAACTATTTTTGGACTCTAAGATTCTATAATTAGGGATGAAAATAGATATTCAAGCCATGCTAAGAATTTTTGACACCAAAACTATATTTATGATAAAATTTGGTGGTGTGCCTTAATTTGATTATTTAAGGTTGCAACCTTATACAAACCACACCTTTTTAGAATACGCATAGTAAGTCTTTCTGGTATATACAGTAACTATCAAATAATTTGTTAGTTTACTGCAGTATTTACTGAGGCATGCTAGATAGAAATGATGTATTCTGTTAAGTCTTGTTCTAGGACAAATAAACAACGTGATAAGGATCTCGAGTCTTGTTATCATCTGTGTTGTTGATTTTCCCTTTATATATCTCCAGTGAAGTTACAGTAGTTGTCGCTTTATATAACTCCCTTGTGTTTAGTTCGTCTTGGCAGTCCCAAGAGTAGGAGAATGGAACCTTAAGTAGTTGTTGATTGTGGAGGACAAAATCAGAGGAAGTAGAATTGCTAGTTTGTGTATGAGTTTATTTGTAGATGGTCGTTTCTTTTTTCATTTTTTGGGGCTAAGTAGATGATTGTTTCTCTCATTCTAGACATGTCCTCTGAATATGAGGCCTCACTAACCTAGTGAAAAAACGATCATTCCCCTTCTAGCTAGATATCTCCACCTTGGTGAGAAGCCAGTTTGAGTTGCTTGGGGTGGCGTGTTTGCTTGTTGCAGTCATCTATTTAAGAAGGTCAAGTCTCTTAAGGATAAGATTATCTAGTGGATCCTATGCAGAAGAAAACACAGTTATCATGTGGAAGACTAGATGTTTAGGTCAATTGATGGTTAACAATAAGTGCAAAAAAAGCATTAATTTGGTGGATTATAGGTGCAAGGCTTGCTAGGGGGGACCTAATTTGGAATTTAGATATCGAGCTGAGTATCGAATAATGTGAAGAAGGAAGAGATGTGATGGCTATATAGAAGATTGTGATAAAGGAGGGGAGCTTCATTTTGCATGATGCCATCTTCAAATCAATCACGTATTCTTTATAGAGATTTTTCTGGTTGAAGGCGTTTTAGTGCTTCTCTTTAGAGCTAGTTGGTTTCTCTAGCCTGGTGGTCTGGTCTTCCTAGCTGGCAAGGCTATTTTCAGAGAAAGCGACGAGGTCATATTTCTTCTTAATGGAGAGGACATTCTTGGTTTCAATGGTTTTCCTTTAACTTCTTATTCATACTTTTGGAATATGCTAAGGTGGTGCTTCTAGACTTCCTCATAGATCTTTTTCTAGTTGCTAGGATGCATGGAGAGATAAATGCTACTGTTCTTGGTCTTGTCCTAGAGGGACTTAAGGCAGCAAATATCAACTTTTATTATTTTCGGGGGAGCCTACTGCAAAAAATTGATTGAAGTCCTTTCTCAATGGGCAGAGGAGATTAACTATCTTATTGCTTGCCTTCCCTAATGTCTGAGATGTATGGTGAAAGGGGTGAGGAAATTTTGGTGAATGGGTCTGCCCAAAGTTTCTTTAAGAATTTGAGGGATCTTTGTTGGGTTAACACATTACTACCCCATCGATTTACTTTAAGAGATTGATTTTTGTGGATTTCTTAGTGTATTAAGGCTAATATTTTTGTTGAATTTATATTGTTGTGTTTCTCATTTAAGCAGAGAAGTGAGCCTTTGAGATATACCCTATCAAGATTATTTTGAATAAAGATCGGAAGCCACACACGCAACATTGGGGAATAGTGTTTGAGGGAATTATGCAAAAGGCTAACATCGTGCAATGGGATGATTCTGTCATAGATTAGTAGAATTACTTCTATTTTGGCCTATGTTTTCATGAAGGTCTCTGTTAAGATTAATCTAGAATTGAATTTACATACATTAAAAACACTTTGGTTTTGGAAAGTTTGGGTTTTTCATTAAGGGTACAGCATGTCATCCAGAATATCTACAGTTCATTAATTAATCCAGATAAATGCTTTTAACCTTCGGCACGAAGTTTCTATAAGTAATGCTGAAATTTTGGTGGAATGGTTTGAATTGATCATTGGTGAATTAACCATTAGGACCCTCTTAGCCCTGAGTATCAAGTGAACCTGGATAAATGTCCGCACTTTAAGAGGCACTATTGTTAAAAAACTTGGTATGTGGTATGACTGGAGTTGCCGGACTCAAGTCCAAGTGGGGTTGATTGACTTAATGATTACATAGACAAGAACCTGTGTGTCACTGTTTGATATGGAAATTAGTATTAAAATTCCAGCTTTAGTATTGTCCTATCCGATATTACATTTCCGTACACTATTTAAATAAGGGGATATATGATAATATTTAAGAGGCATTACATTTATAGTGAGATTTTAGAAAAGAAGTTTGAGAAGAACGGTCTAAGCTTCTGAAATGTAAGACACAAGTATTGTGCCTTTTGCATCCATACATTAGAAAAATCTCGGACGCCCCCCTCCCTCCCCCACCGTCCCCGTCCCCGCCCCCGCCCCCGGCCCCTCGCCCCCGGCCCCGCCCCCGGCCCCTCCCCCGCCCCCCCAACCTTTTGTCTTCTTATGGCTATTTCTCCTCCTCAACCTTTAGTCTTCTTCTGGCTATTTCTCCTCTTTTTTTCTCTTTCCTCAGGCTCTCTCTGGGTTTTTTCTCCTTCTTCCCTTTTCTCTATGCCTCCATCCTTCTTTCTTATCTTTTGCTTCTCATCTCATCTCTCCTTCACCCCTGTTCTTATCCCTTAACATTTACTCTTCTGTCTCTTTTTATGCTATTCATTTATTCTCTTCTTACATCCCCTTTCTCCCCTCACCATTTATCTCTCACTAACCTCCTCTCTCTTTCCCACTTTCTCAATTTCGCAAATCTCTCCCCCTATTCTTTTTTTAGGTCTTTCCTCCTCTGATCTCTTTCACGCCTCCCCTTTTCTCATAGCACTCTCCCCCTCTCTTCCCAACATTTGCTCTTGCTGTGATCTTCCTTGGAATGGGAGAAGCTAGAAGAGGGTCTCCAATGGCTACATATCCCTCCTTCCCTTAGTGACCTTTCTTAGGGTGGTCCAAGAGAGGAGGTTTTACAAGATCTTACAGGATGCTACTCTCAAGTGCCTCTCTCTTTAGTTGCTCTGCTGTTGCTCTTTGAGGCCGGCCCTGCTACTAGATACTGCTGGCTTGCTCCACGATCTCTTCACCAAGCCATCTCTTTGGCCAAGACAGTTTCATGTTCCTTCATAGGCCTTTTTAGTTTTCCATTTCTAAGTTCTCTTTTTCTCTTTTCTTCTGGCTTTGCTCTGGGTTTTGCCATTTCTTCTTCTTGTTTTCTTTGTTCTCCCCCCCACTCCCTATTGTTATGTACACTGAGCAGCCAGGTTGTGGGCTGCCTTCACCTTAATTAGTATGTAATTCTTCTTCATTTATAAAGTTAACCGATTCTCAAAAAAAACAAATCTCGGACGTGTGTCCATGTTACATAGATCCTGACTTTTCTTGTGACATTTTTATTGCAAATTCACCTACTTTCTGGTTGACTCGATTCATTTTTACATTCTTACAGAGTCCATTTTTGAACCCTGCTCCAAACTTGGTACTGCTAGCCAAGTGTTTAGGTTTGTCTTTTGTATGTGTAGGCCACAAAGATGGATTTGACTTGAGGGTTTTCACAACAGGATGAACTACAACTTGTTACATAGAGAATTTGAGCACTTGAAAGAAAAGGGGTGTCCCTATGAAACTCAAGATTGTTGCATAATGATAACTCCTATTGCAAAGACTTCCATTACAGCAATCCGGTCTTATTTCATTAGGTTGTATCTTGTAAAAATTTGGTGTGAATTGCATCTCAAAATACAATTTAGTGGACAGAGGTTGTCGACTTTGGATAAACTTACAGGGTTATGAACTTGTTTTGCAATGATTATGTTGTCTCTAACTTTTCTTTTAGGTTGGTGATGATATTTTTATTTTCATATGTAAAAAGAAAATGATAATATTATATAAAAAATGAAGAAAATGACAGAGAATGATTGAATGATGATATGAAGCTGAAGAGTAACAGTGTTCAAACACTTAAACTTGGTGCTGAAATCAGTCACTGCCAAAACTGAGTAAGTCAGTGATTTAAACAGTCAATTTTGTAAAACTCGGTTGTAAAATTTGTGGGAAATTTTTTAAAGAATACAAAGTGAGACGAATTTACTCATGTGAATATTTCCAAACGAGATTTTATTAATTGAATGGCAAAATTTCCGCATTTGTGATGCTCTGCATAAGGTTATATATTGAAGAGAAACCATTTATATTGTCTTGAATCCAAATGAATATCAAAAGAACATAGCATGAAATCTCACACTTTTTAAGTATTGTACATATACTGTAGATAGATCATACATCTCATTTTGGATACCTTATTTTTTGTGGACAAAAGAGGTATTTTGAAGGAGAGACCCAGGAGAAGCATTCATATGGCGATTGGTTATTGTCTACATAATATGTACATTATTTTCCAAATAGTTGGGAAAATGCTCTGATGATGATGCACACTGATTTGAATATTTTCGGATCTATAGTTTGTTGATTGCCGCAAATGAGAATACTATTATCCAACTAGGGCAGTTCCATGGGAAAGAATTCACTCATGGATCCAACTATACAAGAGGCCCTTGTCTACAAATATGAGGACAAATAATTTAGGGCTTTAGTTATGAGATTGTTGTCTGAAAATAATAATTTGACTGTTTCACTTATGGGATTGTACGCTACAAAACTCTTCACACTTTTGGTATACAGACATAACAATTATTTTTAGCTATTTGATGCAAAAGCCAATGTATTGAATTGTTATAATAATTAGAATTTTTATTTTGTACTTTGTAACCACTTAAGACATCCCCAATTACTCGATATCACATTTTACAGTCAATAATGATTGTTCCACCAAAAAGTAAATGATCTTATTTATAGTTTTGGTGACGATTTCAAAAGCAAACCATATATTGCAAAAATTTCTTTTGTAGCTGATGATCACGCAAATATCATGGGGAAGACATTAGGTTGTTAGGGTTGGGTAAGTTGTGTCAAGAGTACCTAATGGAAATGTGTATAATGAGACTATTTACTCTTCATACGAGGAAGTCACATTCATTATCAACCGTTGAATGTGAAATCAAGTGGTTAATTATATGTCATTGATTGTGCATAAAGTTTATATGTCATTGATTGTGCATAAAGTTCAAAATAAAATTTCTTGAATGTTGTGACACATTTCAATCTATTGGATGTCGGCCACAAATGATTATGATATCTTTGTATCAAAAGTAAATGTTTTCATAGTATACAATCCCATATCTAATTTATGAAACAAATATAGATCCCTTGGTTTGATTTAAACATTTTGAAGTCTTTTGTATAACAATCGTTTATAGTGGCACATAAAATAAATAAATAAATAAAATCAATGTTTTAAAATATTAACGAGCCTTGACCTTGTTTGATTCATCTTTCTCAAGCAAATACTAGGCTCTTGCAAATAGGTCAGGGTGACCCAACCCGACACCACGGACTCGAAGGTGAACCCGACTTGATATGGCCAGGATTAGAGCCAGACCCAGAGACCTGATTAGTCAAGTTCATTAGGCGGGTCCAAACCTGGACAAAGTTGGGTCAATCCGTTCGCCAAACCTAAGTATACGACTCTAATGATAAACTTATTGCTTCGACTCTAATGATAAACTTATTGCTTCTAGCTTGTCATGGTATTGCATGCTAGTGATCATGGTCATATACGACTCAACAAAATGGTTTTGCTTAATGGACTTCACGGTGTTCTTATTTCAATAAAACTTATTGCTTCTAACTTGTTTAGATGTACTCGTTATCATTGATAATTTACTATTTCAATAATGGTAATGGTGACAATAGATTATTTATTATTTGATTGTCTATTATAAATTTATTAAACTTATAGGTAGTTTTACATAAAAGTTTATTTTTTTAAAAATCGGTTTTTACTTTATTCACAATAATTTGTTGAGAATCAAATTGCTGGACCTCACCGAAAAAGTTAAACAATTAAATAACGTTGTACATTATGCAAGATACATTTTGTTTTTCGACCAAATATTATCAGAATGTGTTATACATTATACAAGATACTTACCAAACAACTAATGAGATAATCTTAAAATTAATTGTCATCCAAATAAGGAAGGTTATTCTTTTTTCCCATGGCATAAAATTAGATGTAAATCATTTAGCTTCACACTTATCATGCATCTCTCTGCCATGGTATAAAAAGGGATTTTAAAAATTATCGAGCTGATTCAGAATCACTCAAGTCATCTTGGAATTGTGTAAGTATATCAGAATCAATGGGTCCACGATTCCAATTGGAGGAACCTTGGAATCACTAGATTTTCACTTGGTTTTTTAAGTTTGTATTTATTTTTATTGTATCTGTACCATGATTCAACTTAAGAATCACCTGTGCTGGATTGATCAAATTAGAATCTCTCCCAATTTTGAGTATTAAAATCCTAATATAAGTGAGCCCCACCAAATTACCCCAAAAAAAAAGAAAAGAAAAAAGAAAAAAAGAAGACCGGGGTAAATGTGTTGCACAATAATACTCATGCGAGTGTTTTAGCGGAGTAGTAGAATTATAGTTCAATTATTCAACGAAAACTCCCTAATATTTTTTAATGGGAAAAGTTTATATAAGGTTGCAACCTTAAAATGTAGAATGCACCTCAAAAATCCATCAAAAAGGTTGTTTTAATGTTGAAAAACACTCTAATTGATCATCTCGACATCGAGATGTATGAATATGAAAGAAAAAAATGATTTTTAGTCCCAAAAATAGTGCATCTTGCAACACATTATCTAGACTGTCTATTTTCAAGATTTTCATACTTTTATAGATCTACTTGATTTTAACCATTTTTAGAGTTTAAAATTTTATAATTAGATATGAAAATAGATTTTTAGATAATCTTATGAATTTTTAACACAAAAAAGACATGTTATGATGAAGTTTGGAGGTGCACCTTAATTGGATTGTTTAAAGTTGCAACCTTATAGAAACCACATCCTTTCTTAATATCTCTAAGCATTGTGTCATGCTAGTATTCTCTAGGGTTTTTTATGGGATTGTCTATAAAAAGATTATTTATCTTTTGTACATAGATGTCATAATCATTTTTCCAAATGTGTGGTTGTAAGAATGTCATTGAATAGACATAGATTTCAAAAAAAAAAAAATCTCAGATTTTGTGACTCACCACAAGCCATCTTTTTGACATCTAATGAGTGAGAATGATTGTGACCTCCATGTATAACAGATAAATAGTCTTTTTGTAGACAATCCTCTTTTTATATATAAAACAAAAAAACAAAAAAAAATTGAGAACTTGTAGACTGAAATGCGGCAAAGCATAGGTCTAGCACCTAGAGCAATACCCCACTAGTTCTTGGCCGGCTCCGTGATTTCTAAGACATTGTTTCGATGTGCCTAAACTAGGCCACATGTTCTTTACATTCACCGACCATGTGGAAATATTCCTAGTTCAAGCTGTTTTTGGCCATTTCATCCTAATGAAGTAAGTAATTTTAATGGTGGATATATTGGTTTGGGTGAGAGAGGTCAAGGGTTCAAATCCTTGAAATTTGTCCCAACAAATTGAACTGAGTTGACCTTTTTTTAGAGTTAGAAATTTTAAGTCATTATATTCTATTATGAGTTGCCTTTTTTCAGTTATTTGTGAAACCATTATCATCAGAGCCTTTTTTCAACTATTTGGGATCGACTACACGATTTCTAGTATGTCATTCTACTATATTAAGCCATTATGCTTTGTCAAGGGTCATATTCTTAGTGAGACCATTATCATCAGAGCCATTTCTCAACTATTTGTGATCGACTTTCTCAACTATTTGGGATATTAAAAGCCATACCCTCAGTGAGACCATTATCATAAGAGCTTTTTCTCAACTATTTGGGATCGACTTTTTCAACTATTTGGGATCGACTTTTTCAACTATTTGGGATCGACTACACGAATTCTAGTATGTCATTCTACTATATTAAGTCATTATGCTCTATCAAGGGCTATACCCTCAGTGAGGTCACTATCATCAGAGCATTTTCTCAACTATTTGAGATCAGCTACACGAATTCTAGTCCGTTATTCTACGTTATTAAGAGCTATATTATCAATAAGGTCATAGGTCTCCATATCGTTTCTTACTACTCTAATGAAAAAATTACAGCACTTTCCAAAGGCATTTTTCTGAGCTATACTCTCAATGAGGTCTCTCCATGTCGTTTCTCACTAATTCGGTAGGAAATTTCAATACTTTCCAAAGGCATTTTCCTCGCTCCGAGATTGTTTAGCTCTCATTAAATAAGAGGAGGATGACATAGAACTAACGGCTTCTTCCCTTGCTTCAAGCAAACGCTCTTCAAACGTTAACGGAAGGAAACCCACACATGTTGGTTGCTTGTACGGCTTCATCAAAATCACACTTTCTATTTCATTTTTCGAAAGGGAAAAGTTTATATAGAGCCGAGGCTCCAATCAATTAAATTAGAGCTTACCTCAAAAAAATTTTTAGACGAAGTTGTTTTGATGCTCAAATATCCTCAAATTGATCATCTCGACATCAAGATGCATGAACATGAGAAAAAAATGGATTTCATGTTTTGGAAATAGTGGTTTTTGTAACGCATTTTTGGACCGTCAATTTTCAAGATTTCCAAGTTTTTATGGATCTCTCGATCTACACTATTTTTTAAGCTTTAAATTTTATAAATAAAGATGAAAATATATTTTAAGGCTATCAAAAGTATTTCAAGTATTGAAACTACATTTCTCAACACCATTTGAAGGTAGGCTCTAATTTGATTGTTTAGAGCCTAGGCTCTATACAAAGCACACCCTTATCAAAATGCCCCCTTATTTTGTGGGCATTATTAATAAAAGGATGGGGTTTCTGTGAGTCAACCGACTCATAATATACATATGTGGACCCCCTCTTAAACCATCTTAGAAATAGCTTTTTAATCTTAAAATTTTAGGGATTCATGATTTAAGTTTAGATGATCATAAACATGAAAGAAAAAACCACAAAAAAATTTACATTTAAAATACAAGTTTTTTGAAAATATTTCTGGAGTGTGTAAACCTTTTGAGTTTCTTACAACGTCCGTCTTAAAGATGGACCGTCAGTGGGCCCTTGCACCTGCTGACTCATGAAGGACTATTCCTTGTAGACTTTATTTTCTTTTACTTTTTCCCATTTTTGGCTTCAATTATTATTCTTTAATACAGCACCTAGTTGCTTGCACACTTTTCCCACTACTTTCAATTTCGTATGTTCAAATTCCCCCCCCGTTTTGGGCAATTAGAATTCAGAAAAGCCAAACGTGTTTATGCTCCCCTTGGAGCAAACTGTCCATTTGCTCCCTCAAGCAAAAACTATTTAAGATCCCAAATTTTGGGGATGTATCCTCTATATCAGAGAGAGAGAGAGAGAGGAGGAAGAAGAAGAAGAATTCGAACGTACACTTTAGGAGCTTGAAAAAATAAAGTCCTGAAGTTGACTTACTGTACATTGTCCAATTTTGGGAGGGATAGCAAGATCTAAGTGCTAAAGAGCTCAAAATACCTTTTTTTTTTTTGTAAGAACAATCATCAAATGATATTTAAATAGATCCCAAATTTTCTGTTTCAAAAACTCTTTTCAAGTATATTTTCAAGCCGAGGGAGCAAATGGACAGTTTGCTCCTGACGGAGCATAGTACAAACGCTAGAAAAGAAAACCGGTCTCCGAGGGTTGTTTTGAGAGGAGGTTGGAAAGGACGGCCAATATCAAACAACATACCCCTGCGGGATTATAGTATTCACTTACTCCTTCAAATATTGGTACCTAAAAACCAAAACTTAGAATTTGAGTTCTAAACTATAGTCTATGTTCAATCTTAGCACAATGTGTGGCACAATAGTGGCTTTTTTTTTCCTCAGGGGTTGGTAACTAGGCTGAGGAGGACACTTTCCCAAAATATGCTCCTGAAGGAGCACATAATCTTTTGGCTCGAGTTCTTACTTTTATCTTTACCCAGTTTAGGGTTTCCAATATGCATACCATACCATCTCCTAAGAAATTAGGGTAAATTTTTATTTGAAATTCCCTCCTTTAACATTTTAAGCCTCAAGTAGTCCCTCACTTCCATTCACTATAAACACCAAAAAACGTGCACGCACCCGCACAAGGATTTAAATAGGGTAGTTAGTTATATTTGGGAGTGTGAAAGTATCCTTAAATATAACAATTAAAGGGTTTGCTTCAATGAACTCCAACCATAGGGTATACGTTACTGAATTCTTGAAGCAACAACAGTATTCTAAAAAAGATAACCATCACCCTTTTTATTTATTTATTTGGATAATTAACCCAAGTTGGCTATATAAACACACACATATCTGAATCCATAGAATCCACTGATCCAATTTATGTTTTTCGGATTTGTCCGGTTTTAAGCACGCACACAAATTGAAATCACCTAAAAAAATTGAAGTTTTTCGTCTCTGTGGAGCCCCCACTCGATCGTCTGAACTCTTCGCAACGACGGATTGAGAATGGAAGAAGGGAAGAAGAGGTTGGCAACTCTTGTGGGATGCAACTATCCCGGCACTCCTAACGAACTACACGGGTGCATAAACGACGTGCTAACGATGCGAAGTGTGCTCGTAAAACGGTTTGGTTTCAACCCGAATGATATCACCACCTTGACTGATTCTGAGGACTCAAAGGTGAAACCTACTGGTGAAAACATAAGAGAGGCTCTAAATGAAATGGTTAGCAAAGCTGAGGCAGGAGATGTGCTATTCTTTCACTATAGTGGCCATGGCACTCTGATACCTGCCTCCATGCTAGGACACAAGCATGGATATTATGAAGCCATTGTGCCAACTGACTACAATCTTATGACAGGCAAGAATACCTTGTTACTTAGGTTCCTTTTTTTTCTTTTTTCTTTGTTTTCTTTTTTAAAAAATTATGCAAATTTATTCTAGTTTCAAATTTTCTTTTTCTCTTAAGACTGGTTTGGCCCATCTACCTATTTAGTAGTACATCCAATGTTTTTTGCACAATGAAATGTTTGTAGTCACTCATGTTTTGGGTGACAAAATAAAAAAAGAAAATAAAAGTTAATACACTTATATAGAATTTATCTAAATTTTATTTTTTCTATTTTTTCAAAAAAGAAGAAATAGAAGACTAGCTTAAGATTTTTTTTCAATTGAAATTTTTTAATAGGTGCATTGGCTAATGCATCAAAAGATCTGAACCCTCCACCAGAAAAAGAAAATCAAGTCCTGAGATTTAACATAAGTTGCATGTTGCCCCATGCAGACCTCGACTTTCGGTGGCTAGTCAACCAGCTACCCACCGGCACCAGCTTCACCTTCCTCTCCGACTCCTGCCACAGTGGTGGCCTCATCGACAAAGAGAAAGAGCAAATTGGTCCCCACCACCTCCCCCCTAGCCGATCTGCTCCTGTTCGAGACTCTCAACAGAGGTTCATGCCTATACAAGCCATCCTTAACCACTTGGCTGCAGCCTCCGGTCTGAACTCACAAGAAATCACCTACCACCTCCATCAACTCTTCGGAGACAAGGCCTTCTTCAGGTTCGAGTCCAAAGAGAGCTTTTCTGCCTTAAAACCTGCAAGTCCGGACGTCGGGATATTGCTCAGTGGGTGCCAATCCAACGAGACTTCGGCCGATGCATTCCCGGATGGGGATATCTCAAAGGCGTTCGGGGCCTTCTCAATGACTGTGAAGAGGGTGCTCGCGTCGCACGCGGGGCCCATTAGCAATAGGGAACTGGTCATCCAAACAAGGGGATTGTTGAATGAAGAGGCCTATGCTCAACATCCTTGCCTCTATTGCAGTGACCAGAATGCAGATGCTCCTTTCCTTTGCCAACCCCTTACCTAAAATTCAACATGAAAATTATATGGGGGTAGTGACCCCAATGAAATCACTTCCCAAAGTTCAAAATATAAGGAGCTATTGAAGTATGAACACTGTGGTTTAACAAAATATATCATCACTGTTTGTGTATTTTAAACTTAGCCTCATGGATATGTATGAACACTGGGTTATTTGTGGCAGAATTTGTTTTGTGTCAAGCCACATGTGTCATGAGTTACAATATATGCATATGGATACAAGAACCACATGATAGAGTATGACATAATATGTATTATTTTTCAAGAAGTTTGATTTTTATGTTAGGATGAAGTTTTTATAAGGCGTAGGCTCTACGAAAACAAAATAGAGCCTCACATCAAATCCTTATTTGGAAAGCACTTTGGGTAGTATAAATCACCATGATGGCTCTAAAATCAATTTTCAACACCAACAATAAAATTTGAAACTCAAAAAATGGTATAAATCTTGCAGATCCATGAATACCTATTTTTAGGGTGAAACGAACGGCCTAGATAATTTGTTTCAATATACAATATTTTTAGAACTTTAAATCCTATTTCGTTTTCACAAACATAATGTTCAAGCTAAGATGATCGATGTAAAGGTTTTGCAATGCTTGAATTACAATTTCAATGAGTCATGAGATGAGGCTTTACTTGCTTTGATAGGCTGCACCACTTTCAAACCATTTTCCTTTATGTTAAGGTATCATGAGACTCAAGATGGACCCAAACCCCCCTAAGAACAATATTAAAAACAAAAAAGAAAAAATATTTTTATCCTATGGGGCAGTGAGATCGTGAAGGGGCCGACAAGGGAAAATATCACTTAGATAATGAAAGCACCTTCTTGTAAGAGAAAGAACATAACTTTAAATTGTCGAATTTTTATTGTCGAATTTTTATTGTCGAATTTTTTTACAAAATCGTTAAGGTGTTCAAATCATCCAATTTAATATTAAAATAGTTTTCATTTCACTTTGATATCTCCTCAAACAAATGTCAAAAAACGCCTAAAGTTTTGCATTTTGGTAATTTGGCCTCATGGTCTGAGCCCAATGATTTGAACACCCCTCCCTGTCCATGTTTCCAAATCTGGATCTATGTTTGTTTCCACTTTCCACAATGAGCTAACTGACCAATGGACCCTGAGTTTTCAGGAATTTGGGAATTTGATGCTCATTTTGTTCTCAATGGTTATGCTAAGGTGCTTTTTGGATGTGCACATAACTATATTTGTAGTTAGCGGATATTCGCTTCTTGCTTATGTATAGGGGTGGCAACGGGTCGGGACAGACCCAAAAAAATGATATGGGACCCAGACAAAAAAATTTAGTGTGAGACCCATACCCGATCGGGCTCGACCCAAAAATTAAAATATCTATGTGTTTAATTATATTTAAATATATTTCATGTATTGGGACATAAAAAATAGTACCGGACCCAAAACCTGACCTGGACCCAACTAGACCCGAGTAGTGTTCGGGTCTAAGATTTGGACCTGAACCCGATTCATCTAGTCTAATTTTTGAACCCATACCCAGACCCGAATCGGGTCGACCCCTCTGGTCCCAGGTCAGGTCCGATTGCATTGCTACCCCTACCTATGTAGATAAGCCTAGTTAATCACAGATAGCTCTACACGCTTTCTGGCTGCACAATAGACTCGTTCGACCACAATTAAAATTGTCAAAGTGGCCCACAGTTTTAGCATTACTTTTATTTATTTTTTTCAGACATTAATAGTGGGAATGGCGGGTGTGATGTTATATTATGCCCCAACCCCATTCCCAAGTGTTTTAGCATTAGTTAACGGGTTTTCTATCGCAATTAGCAAAATTGCATGTGATAGTTCAATTTTTGCACTTAATGGTTCAAAATCAAGTTTTAAAAATGAACCATTGTGAATGTTGACTATCAAATTTCATGAATGGTTGCAACCAGTATTTTAAAACCCCGCAATCCAAATCGGGAATCATCAATGTGGATTGGGAATTGGTTGGGATCGAACTGGTTCCGAGAAGGTATTAGTCCTAACCTAGTCTCCCCAAACACCCCCTATCCCTCTTTTATTTTTTTAAAGCTTATTTTATATTTTTTGAGGTCACTCTGAATCCCCATCCCATTAACCTTATTTTAATTTTATTTTTTATTTTTGGATAACCAATTCAGATCGATTCATATCGCCTTTCCAACAACCCAACATGGGTCTGTGGGGTGGCTGATCCACCACACCAATCCAAGTTTTGCAACTCTGTTGCAACTATCATCATGTATGATTGTTTATAGTCAAGAGATGTGATTTTACAACAGACAGTGAACAATTTAATTTCAATATTGAAAAAGGAACGCCGTTAGTCTCTGTATACCGCGATTGAACCTCTCATTCAAAAACAGTGGTTTCAAAACACACTCTCTTTTACTTGATTTCTTCTTCTCTTTTTTTTTTTCCTCTCTAATGAAAGACAACCATAGTGTTATGTAGATACTGTTGTTCATGTGTATTTGGTAATTATATCCTCAACTTCCTTGTATCCGGATGACAAGTTTGCTTGTAATCCTATATGCACACTAAATTTAATCAATAGAAGACAAATATTGTACTTTGTTGGAAAAAAAAAAAAAAATCCTTCTTTTAGCGTCCCACACCATCGATGAATGTACATCTTGCCCCATTTTTAACCTAAACTGATGAACCTTTTCCAAGAACATTTAAATTAGGAAAAAGTTTATATAAGGATGCTATGCCCCTAAAAAATCCATCGGAAAAAGTAGTTTTAATGTTGAAAAGCCCTTTGATTGATCATCTCGACATCCAGTTGTATGACTATAAAAAATAAAAAAAATTTAAGTCTCATAAATAGTGCATTTTACAACATATTATCTACACCGTCCATTTCAAGATTTTCATATGTTTATAGATCTACTCGATTTTAACCATTTTTTAACTCTAAAATTTTATACTTAGATATAAAAATAGATTTTGCAATAATCCTAAGAACATTTTACATCAAAATTATATGCCATGATAAAATTCCTCTACACCTACGTATGCATCCGTATGCCAACTGCACTCTTCAAATTATATATAAAAAATTATGGAAAAAGTTTATATAAGGTTGCAACCTTAAAATATAGAATTACATATACACTTCAAAAATCCACTCAAAAAAGTTGTTTTAATGTTGATCTCAACATCGGGATGTTGGGATATGAGAAAAAAATAATTTTAAGTCTTAGAAATACCGCATCTCGCAACACATTATCTAGACCGTCTATTTTCAAGGTCTACATGATTTTAACTATTTTTGGACTTTAAAATTTTATAACTAGATATGAAAATAGATTTTCAGATAATCTTAATAATTTTTTACACCAAATTACATGTTATGATAAAATTTGGAGGTGCGCCTTACTTGGATTGTTTAAGGTTATAACGTTATAGAAACCACACAAAACAATTATACAACAATCCCATAATTTTTTTTTAACTTTTTATTAAAAGTAAAGACGGAGCAGCATGGCTTCACCTAAAAGGCAAGGCCAAGCAACTTGGCCGAGTCTAAGTGGACATGGCCGAATCCCATTATACTTGTTCAAAGAAAGCATTGGTAGGGCTGGCAAAGGGCTGGTAGGCTCGGTCGGCCTGGCCCTAAAAACCATAGGGCTTGGGCCACAAACTTTGGCCTGACGCCCCGACTCAGCCCTACCATCTTTGTTTCTTGTTTTTTCTTATATTTTTTTTTCATTTGTTTTTGGGCTGATCCACAAGGTCTGGGCCAGGACTATAGGGACAAGGACCCGGTTCTAGCCCCAGCCCCAGACCCGGCCCCGGCCCCGGCCCCTGCCTCGGCCCCAGTCCCAGCCCCAGCCCCAGCCCAGCTCGTTGCCACCCGCATGGGGTGCCACCTCTATATTGACATGTCCCATAAACTCCACTTTGGATACCCATTTAAAGTTTTTAACTCATCAAGTTGCTACCCCTTTTTTATCTGGTAGTACACTGTATTCCTGCTTTTGTTTAAAGCAAAAAGAGAAAGCCAAAACATATATATTATGACTCTCACTTTATCGCCAACAAAAAAATGAAAAAGATCCAGTTTTTAAACCAAAACAGTGACCCCAATCATGCCACAAAAAAGAAGAGGAAGCAAGAGTGATTAATGTTCCCTTGAAATCCACAAATCAGACAGAAATTTCTATGGACTATGGAGTTTTCCTTTCTGGAAAGAGAAAATACGTCTAGTTCAAATGATGACAAGGTACATTTATCCAGTCAAAAGTTTTCAAAAGACTCAATTATGTACTTGCTCCATGAGGAAGGGAACTTTTGCCCTTAAAGATCTACACCCATTATAAAAAAAACTAAAAATAAAGTATTAGGAGGCGTCAAATCTAGATCAAACGGTCAGTAGCTCACTTGATCTAGATTGAACGGTTGGATGAGGAAAAGTATATATCTTCTATGCAGTAGGAAAAGTATAGAAACCTTTTTTTTATATTAATTAGTTATCTTGGAATAGATAGATGCCTAGGTTTTTGGGATTTAAGATAAGGTTTGGATCAAAGTTTGGCTACTTGGCAAGAGTCGATTCAGACTTATCCGAGTAACTCGGTCTTGGCAACATGCCTTACTTTAGTCCCATGAAAAGAGGAAGTATATAAGAATTGATTATAAATATTCAAAATAGATAAGTAATGATTTAATCTTTGATTAAATTAACTATAATTAACTTATTATTAGTTTTTATCTATCTTTATATCTTTGTGATTTTTAACTTCCAAAACAGCCTGAAGGCTAAAATTACAACCTCCCGCTAATACAAGTCCGGGCTAGGTCCGTCTTCTTCTTTTTCGTCTTCTTTTTTTTCTTTCGTTTATTTTTTTATTATTTATTTATTTTTTGTCTACCATGCTCAATCCAATAGGGAATAGAACTGGCTTGGCCTATTTTTAAGCCTAATCAATATAAGGAAAGCTTTCTATGTTCCCGCTACAACATATAAGTTTTATCCTCCCCGTACTATCCAGCCTTTCATTTTTTATCAAGAGAGTCACTCACCGTTTGATCTTATATCCGATATCTCAAAGTATTTCATTTTTATTTTTTTTAATACAATTTTTCTGAATATAAAATTTGGTTCATGCCATCTCTTCATTGGGGGCGCACCTATAAAAAATATTAACAATAATTTTTCAATAAAATATAATGACCAAAATACCTCTTGAATCTTTCAGGGGTATTT